GGCCTGACAGCACCAAGCTCCAGAAGCCACCAGACAGGAGCTCACACAGGCACCTGGACCAAGCTGTGCAGAAAAGGGGCCATTCCAGAAGCAGAGTTCTCTCCCAGCTGAGGCTTTGCTGTAAAATCACCTTTTAGGTGAAAATCAAACTGCTGCCAGGCAGTGCCCCCACACCAAAGCCAGCAGGACACAGCTCATCCATCCCTCCAGCTCCTGCCCTGACACTGCACAAGAGGAAAGCACAGACTGCCAGCTCAGAGCTGGACTTTGCATTTTCTTGCTGCTTTGGAGGAGTAAATCACTGCCAGAGGAAAACCACACAACCAGGATAACTGAACACTACACATCCCACACCACCCACCATCCCTGCCTGGAATTCACCTGGCATTGAAAGACTCACCCATGGCATGGATCAGTGACAGGAAATCACACATCAAGCTCAACAAAAATCAAGTTTAGCACAAATATAAAATATTCAAGTGGATTAATTTAAAAAAGTACAGTGAAGGAATTCAGCCCAGAGCAAATTCAATATTCCCTTAAACAGGACAATCTTGGGAACACAAAGCCCTTAATTCCAGCTGCATCACAGGGAATTCTCACATAAGCTGCTCTTGGAACTCTAAGCAGCATTTCTCTGATACAGAATTGTAAGCTCACATGTTATCACAGAAGTTTAATGCCCAAATGGGCCTTGCTGGGAGAACCATGGAAAAAAAAAAAAAGAAATAAAAAGAGCCAAGAAGCCAGGCTTGCAGGTGAAATGGGATTGTACAAAACTGGATTGAGCCTTGGCAGTATTTCCAAAAGATTAAGATAACTTACAAGTTACTCCAAACCTTGGACATGCTGCTTTGGAAGCAACCAGAAACAAACCAGGAATTCTTTCTCCCTCACACATGTGGAGATTCTGGGAAGATTCCAGGAAATCCTCTGTGTTGAGGGGCAGAAGCAGCTGAAAGCACGGGCCAGCATGGAGGGACCAAAAGATTCAAAGCTTTTTTTTTTTTTTCAATTTTTCTTTTTTAATAAAGTTAAACAGTAAAACAAAATTCACAAGCCTTCCCCTCCCGAGCTGGTTTCCTCTTCACACACACAACACACAAACAGAGGCTCCAACCCAGAAATGAAACTGCTCTAAAGGACAACGAGACGTGATGGAGGAGGAGTCTGGGGCTGTCCATACTCGAGGTTAAAAGAAGCAGATCAGGTATGTGTGGTTTGATTTGTGTTTGTTTGCTTCTTAGCCAAACTGGAAAAAGAAATTTCCAGGCCCAGAAGCTGAAAAAGAAAATGGAAAATAATCAGGACTTTTCAAATCCCAATTGGTTTAGTGCAAACCTAAGCAGCAGCAGGTGGATGGCCAAGGCCACACAGGGTTCCAGGAGGAGGAGTCCCCAAGTTTGGGGCTTTGGAACCCAGAAGAATCAGCTGAGACAGCAGGCAGGACTTGGAAAGAGATTTGTGCAACAGCCAAATGCTCTCCTCAAGCAGCACATCCACTGGGAGCCCCAGGATCTGTGTACTCACAATTCCAGGCTGGGAGGAGAACATCTCACCTACCTTCAAAGCTGAAGCCCCCTGGCCCGCTGAAGAAGGCCTTGAAGATGTTGTTTGGATCAAATTCTACAGGGAAGAGAAGGAATTCATGAGTTGCACAGCTAAACAACCACCACATTCCCAGAGTTCAGGAGCTGTCAGCTCACTGAGGCTCCAGAAGGGACTCAGGGCTGGCTCCAGGGCCATGCACTGACCCCAAACAGGTAAAGCAGAGAGAACCTGCCATGGCACAGCCCAAGGATCTGCATAAGCAGTATTCAGGGACTCACAATGACACCATTTCCCATATTCTGTGACAGATTTCTGCCCACCAGCTGAGCCAACACCCACCAGTGGCCCAGCTGCTCCCAGCTAGAACCATCCAGCTCATCCCAACTGTTTGTCAGGGACTAAAGCAAATCAATTCATGGAACCATTCCCAGCAGCAGGCTTGCTCTAGGGGTAAGGCAGACCCTAAAGGGTTCAAGGCTGCCATGGCAGAGGGTTGGAAAGAGCACTGACCTCCCATGTTTAATCCATCCTCCTCCAAGTCCTGCCCGCTGTCATAGCGAGCCTTCTTCTTGGGATCTGACAGGATGGTGAAGGCTTCACCAACCTCCTTAAATTTCTTCTCTTCTTCCTTCTGTACCTCTGCACTTGCTCCACTGTGTCTGTCTGGGAATGCACAAACAACCAGGAAAAAACTTTTAATTTTCAGTGCAAATGGATAGTGTTAAACACTCCCAATGTTAATGTTTCATTTTCAGTGCAAATGGATAATGTTAAACATTCCCAAGCTCCTGCTCCAGATCTGTGGGCTCAGAGCTGCTAATTCCCAGGAATTCCCTCTTCCACACCCATTTCTGCCTCAGTGCTGGCTGCACAGGGCCCACAGGGACTGCAGGGGGTACCTGGATGGTGCATTAGTGCTCTTTTCCTGTAAGCTTTCTTGATCTCATCTTCTGAGGCGTTTTTGTTCACCCCCAGGATTTTGTAGTAGTCTTTCCTTTTGCTCTTTTTCAGTTCCACCTGTGCATTCTTTAGGAGCTGCTTGTGTTCTGGAAAGGAGCACAACACCAGAGGGGAGGAGTTATTCCATCCCTTGTACTTCAGGACACTCAAAATGCAAGGGGACAGCCAAGACAAGAAGCAAAACCAGACATTCTGAATCCACACACAGGGTGAATTATCACTTCTGAATTTTCTCATTCAGAGCTGGGAGAAAACCCAGACCACAAACAGGGATTTCCAGTGATTCTGAGGGCTTTTCCAAATTGTCCTGCTGGGGACAACAAAAAAATTGCCAATTCAGGGAAATCTGTGCACACACACAGAGTGCTTTTGTGCTCACCTTTTGTTTTCTCTGTCTGATAAACCTTCTCATAGTCTCTTACAGCATCTTCATATTGCTCTGTGTCCATGTAACTGTGGAAAGAAACACAGATGGCCAAGGTGTCCCTCACAGGAACATCAGAGGGGTTCAGTAAAGGCTGTGTGGGTGGATGTGGGTTAAGAGAAATGCTCTGGACTGCAGCAGATCAGACCTCAGAGGAGCCCTGACACTTGTGGGGAACTCTATCACAGGAACCTGCCCTCTGGGCTCCAAGGGGACACTGAAAACTCCTCTGGCAGCAAAAGTTGTGCTTTAACAGCCTGATAACTCCAACATTCAGCTGCAGCAGCTGATCCCAGGCAGCTTGAGGAACAGGAAGCTGGTGCAGGGTCAGGGCTGGCACAGAGCTGCACACTGGCAGTGCTGGTCAGGAGTGACAATCCTGGCACCTCTGAGGGACACATGTCTGTGTGTCACCCCTCAGCCTTACTCACACATTACCTACACACTATAGCTTAGAAATTAGAGATGGGAGGCTGGAAAAGATTGATCTTGGAGGTCTTTTTCAATCTCTTTTCCAACCACTGTAAATTTGCAGATATGGAGAGAGAGGGGCTCCATGGCACAGAACATCTATAAACAGTCAGTGTCTATAAACACAGTAAACTGAGTCAAGTTTTAGAATAAATCCTCCCTAAATCCTGTTCAGATCAGATATGAAGAAGAATTTCTTCACTGAAAGGGTGGTCAGGATTGAAACTGGTTGCCCAGGGGGGTGGTGGAGCCACCATGGGAACACCACCCATGGCAGGAGATGTTCATGGAACAACTGGATGTGGTACTCAGTGCTCTGGTCCACTTGATAAGATGGAAACTAGTGAAAGGTTGGTGCCTTTGCACCAGGCAGTGATGAGGGAGGGAGAAGGGATTGATCCAGAAGAACTAAATCATGTATTGAGTTTAAAATAACCCCAGATCCTGGTGATTTTACAGCCCCATTTTCACCACTTAGCCTGTCTTGCCTGCTGGGTTTCTCATGGATGATGGAGGGAGAAGGGATTGATCAAGCAGAACCAAACTATGTTTGGTGTAAAAAACCCAAATCCTGGTGATTTTACAGCCCCATCTCCACCACTTACCCTGCAGGCAAGACAGGCCTTCTTGTGGATGATGGAGGGAGAAGAGATTGATCCAGCAGAAAGGCAATGATGAGGGAGGGAGAAGGGGTTGATCCAGCAGAACCAAACTACATATTGAGTTTAAAAAAACCCCAGATCTTGGTAATTTTACACCCCCATTTCCACCACCTAGCCTGCAGGCAAGACAATGATTTTGGAGGTCTTTTCCAACCCAAATGATGCCATAAATCAAGAGGCAGTGCCAGATGCAGGCAGGCAGGAGAGGCCAGGGAGAGCCATCCCCATCTCCTCAACACCATAAGGAGGAAGAGGAATAAATTCGGGGGTGAGGCCCTGCTATTCAGTGAAGCTCCAGATTTGTGATCCTGTCCCTCAGAGCTGCCCCCACAGGTGCCCAGGGCCAAGGTGCACTCACCACTGTGCCCTCCTCAGGTAGGCTTTGACATAGGTGTCATCCAGCTTCACCGCGTTCGTGCAGTCGTCGATCGCTTCCTCGAGTTTCCTAAGCTGCAACATCACACACAAGAGTGAACCCCACACAGGGAATAAACTCTGCACCATGCCCTCAGCCTAAGGAAAGTGTGAAGAATCTGGGAAAATCTCACTGTTTTCTGTGTCTCTATCTAAGGTTTTTTTTTCTAATTTCTCACCAACACAGAGCTTTTGTTCACTGGGGGAAAAAAAACCATCAGAGGCTTGGCCAGTGACATGGCAGAGCTGTGTGGTGTTTCTGTGTAAGAAATGCACTCAAAACTAAGAGTCTTCCTGATAACAGCCCCAATTCTGTGTCCAAACTAATTCCTGGGCAGGAAGATAAACCTAAAAATATTTAAAATTTAGAAATATTTAAAAGAAGTCTTTTAGAAAAAGTGTTGTTTGTTTTCAGACACAAACATGTCAGACATGCATTATGTGGGCCTCCAGCTCATCCCACTTCTTCCCAGGTTTTGGGAACAGTCTCTTGGCCAAGTGGGGGTGTATGGAAAAGCAGCATCAACATTGGGGCAGCTGAGGAAGAAAAATGCCCAGAGGGCACAGGGTGGGAATTGGGAGCACTGTCACATCACTGGCTGTCTCTCTGGATAGTGCAGGACTAAAATTCAACAGCAAAGTGTCATGGGGCTGTAAATTAGGTATTTTTTCTTTTTTTTTTTTTAACATAAAAACACAAAGCAAGGCATGATTTACAAAAAGATTAGGAAAATAAATCTGTTCATTCCTGGGAAGGAAACAAACAGAGACAGGGCTGCTTTTTGCTGACTAAGATAAGGCTGAAGCACGTCCCTCCTCTCCCTCCCACTCCACGCAGCCCAAGTATTTGAGTTTTGTTTCTGCAGGAGTTGTTTCTGCTGCCTGTTGGGAACTGCTCCAAGTGTTGTGCAAGCACAAAGGCCTGAAACACTGCCCATGGCCTCAGAGATGCAGCTGCCCAGCAGCCAGGGGAGCCTGTGCTCTCCAGAATAACTCATCTGTGGTTTCTCACTGTGCTGAGGGATTTGGAACCAGAACCTGCCACAGAACACCCCTTACCTTTGAATTAACCGTCCCTCTGTTGCAGTAGAGTTTGGCATTTGTTTTGATATTATTTGGGTCTATTCCTAGTGCCTCTGTGTACAGTTCATATGCTAGTTTGTAGTTGCCTTTCTTGAATGCTTTATTCCCATCTTCCTTCTTCGCTTTAAGTGCTTTGGCATTCTGAAAGGAAACACATCCAGGTAAGGAAACAAGGTCAGGGGCCAAGCACCTTGTTCTGCCAGACAAGAGTCCTCAGACACTGATTTCACTGCTTTTCTACTCTGGTTTCACACACTGCTGCAGGATACAAGTCACAGCCTTGCAGCTGAAATGATCTCACTTTGCCTTTCCCCCAAGAGAAGCACTAAGGAACAGCCAGTGCCAGCTCCAGGCATCTTCCATAGGAAAAAGGCTGCCTGATTTTTAAGGAGAGAACATGACAGTGCAGTAAATTTATGGATTAAAATAAAAGGACCAGGAGTTCACTTTTTGAGAGCACATGAACAGATTTAAAGTCAGTTGAAGGACTACACCAGGGAAGGAGCATGAAGGAACAGTGTTAAATGAAAGTCAGGGTATTGGCCTGGATATTGGACCTGAAAGTCAGGAGTTCCTTTAAAACCAATTTATTTGGTTTTATTGCTCCTCTGTCTGACCAGGGAAGAAAGAGTGAAGGGGAGGCTGCTTCAAAACATCACAATCTGCTGCGAAAGAGTTTCTAGGAGCTTGGCTTCATCCGAGGCAGCAGCTGGTTGTCTTTGGGAAGGGTTGGACACACAGCCTGCTCCTGGAGATCTGGGAAAGCCAATTGTGGTATTTGCTGGGTCTCCAGGCCAAAGGAGGAATTGAGAATCTGACTCCATGTTCTTAGAAGGCTAATTTATTATCATATCATATTATAGAATGCTATACTAAACCTATACTAAAGAATAAAGAAAGGATACAGACAGAAGGCTTAATCAGATATTAATTAAAAACTTGTGCCTGCTTCCAGAGCCCCGACAAAGCTGAGCTGTGATTTGTCATTAAGTTAAAACAATTCACATGAAAACACATAAAACAATTCAATCAAAAAACCACCTGTTGGATAAACAATCTCCAACCCACATTCCAAAGCAGCAAAACACAGGAGAAGCAATCAGATAATTACTGCTTTCATTTTTCTCTGAGGCTTCTCAGCTTCCCAGGAGAAGAAATCCTGGCAAAGGGATTTTTCCAGAAAATATGACAGTGACAGCCAATGATGAGGGAGGGAGAAGGAATTGACTCAGCAAAACCAAACTATGTGTTTGCTTTAAAAAAACCCAAATCCTGGTAATTTTACAGCCCTATCTCCAGCACTTACCCTGCAGGCAAGACAGGCCTTCTTGTGGATGATGGAGGGAGAAGGGATTGATCCAGAAGAACCAAACTATGTGTTTGGTTTAAAAAAACCCAAAATCTGCTGATTTTACAGCCCCATCTCTACCACAGCCTGTCTTGCCTGCTGGGTTTCTCATGGATGATGGAGAGAGAAGGGATTGATCCAGCAGAAAGGCAACGATGAGGGAGGGAGAAGGGATTGATTGATCCAGCAGAACCAAGCTATGCGTTGGGTTTAAAAAAACCCAAATCCTGGTGATTTTACAGCCCCATTTTCACCACTTACCCTGCAGGCAAGACAGGCCTTCTCATGGTCAGGGGCCATCCTGAGGGCCTGCACAAAGAACTGCACGGCCTTCTCGATGCAGTCCTCGTAGTACAGGCACAGCCCGCGCACGTAGAGCGCGTCGGCGTTGGTGGAGTCCATCCTCAGGATGTCACTGCAACACAGAAATAAAGGACATCTTCCCTGCTCCTGCTGCCTCCTGACATCCACAAGAACCTCCCTCCACTGAGAAAATACCTCCCTGTGGTGTTTTCTGGGCACCCCGTTGGATGAGGAATGAAGGAGTCTGACTCCGTGTTATCAGAAGGTTAATTGATTATTTTATGTTATTATAGCATATTAAAGAATGCTATACTAAAACTATACTAAATAATAGAGAAAGGATACAGACAGAAGGCTTAACAAGATGCTAATGAAAAACCCATGACTCTCTCCAGAGCCCTGATTGGTCATTAAGTCAAAATAATTCACATGTTGGATAAACAATCTCCAACCTCATTCCAAAGCAGCAAAACACAGGAGAAGCAAATGAGATAATATTGTTTTCCTTTTTCTTTGAGGCTTCTCAGCTTCTCAGGAGAAGAATCCTGAGCAAAAAGGATTTTTCAGAAAATATGACAGTGACAGGACCCAGTTACTTTAACAAGTTTGTGGTACAGGTAAGGTAAAAGGACAGAAGCCTCCTCAAGCAGGATGGCTGGTTGTGAATGGGGTCTGGATGCAGCTTCCTAGGAAGATTTATGGGGATAAATTCACACATTCCCTCCTTATCACAACATTTGTTGGACAACGCCCTTTTCCTGACTCAGAGATGGGGCAACTGAGAGGCATTTAAATTTTAAAATTTTATTTATTTTATTTTCAGTCACATGTGAAGGGTGAGACAATACAGCTGTTATAATTCACATAACCACAATCAGAAGCCAACTATTTCCTAATTACAATACACTATAAATGTTTCTTGGCCTATGAGCTTTAGCCACACCATACTGTAAATGCCTTAAAGCCAGTCATCCAAAATTACTCCTCATGGCTCCTACTACAATGCATCCTTCATAGTTCTATTTCTCCAAAGTATCCAGTCTTATTTGCAAGGCCACCTTTTGAAACTTTTTTCTAGCTCCATTTCTCTCTCACCAGTATCTGTCTCAAAGTTTTTACAGTTTCTCAGCATTTCTTGTCTCAAAGTTTCCATGTGGATGGAAACTTTTGTCAAGCCCTAAAAGTTCTCTACAAATCCATTTCCCATAATGCGCACTAAGTGTGATGGACATATTTTATCAAAAATCCTTTTGACAGGATTTTTCTCCTGAGAAGCCTCAGAGGAAAAGAAGAACAATAATTATCTGCTGCTGTGGAATGCAACAGGTGCATCTTTGATTGGGCTCATGTGGTTGTTTTTAATTAATGGCCAATCACAGTCCAGCTGTCTCAGATTCTCTGGTCAGTCACAAGATTTTATTATCACTCCTTTCCTTTCTAGCCTTCTGATGAAATCTTTTCCTTCTATTCTTTTAGTACAGTTTTAATATATAATTTTATTTTAATATAATAGGTATCATAATAAATCAACCTTCTGAAACATGGAGTCAAGATTCTCATCTCTTCCTTCATCCCTGCGAACTCCACCACACACTAAGGAATATTTGTGTTTTCTATTCCCTCACTTATTGCAGGCTTGGAGCCAGGATTGCCCAGCAGGTGCCCCTCATGCCCAGCCCTCAGACACTCACCTGGCCACAGACTGTGCCTCGGGGTACCGGCCCAGCAGTGCCAAACACTCGGCCTTGAGGATTTTGAAGCGGTGACAGGCGGGAGCAAACTCCAGAGCACGATCCATGCAAAACACAACCTGGGGTGGGAGAAACCACAGCCCTGAGCACAGCAAAGAGCCAAGGGCCTGCTCTGAACTGCTGGCCCGTGCCTGAGGTTTGTGTTTGATCAGGAAGGTGAGTGCAGACACCCATCTCCACTGCTTCTTTGAGTTTCCTAAGCTACAACATCACACACAAGAGAGTGAACCCCACACAGAGAACAAACTCTGCACCATGACTTCAGGTGTGAAGAATCTGGGAAAACCTCACTGCTCTTTCTGTGTCTTCATCTAGGATTTTCTTTTCCA